AAAGAAAGAAAAGAAAATTCTTTGGTACAGTAACATTTAGGAAGGACTGAGCTAGACAAAAGAAGGAGAGACAAGGCCAGGCACCGTGGCTCACCTGTAATCCTAACATTTGGGAGGCCAAGGCAGGTAGATAGTAGGAGTTCAAGACCAGCCTAAGCAAGAGCAAGACCCCATCTCTAAAAGTAGCCTGGCTCCAGCTGAATGGCTAAAGTGGCCAAGGCTCCAGCCACATACACCAGAGCTGCAGGTTCAAATCCTGCCTGGGCCTGCCAAACAATGACAACTACAATCAAAAAATGGCCAAGTGTTGTGGTGGGCACGCGTCATCCCAGGTATTCAGAAGGCTGAGGCAAGAGGCTCACTTGAGCCCAAGAGTTTGAGATTGCTCTGAGCTGTGATGCCATGGCACTCTCCCAAGGGTAACAAGATCAGATTCTGTCTCAAAAAAAAAAAAAGGAGAGAAACCAGGTGAAAAGTCTGTGCACACAACTGGGTCAAAAACTATTCTGCCCCAAGACTGCCCTGGTCAGGAGCATCACAGCACATAGACAGCCTACTTGCCTCTAGGGCTGATGCCACTTGGTTTGAGTACTAAAGTTGCTCTAATCATAAGATGTGTTCTGAAGGCTTGGCGGCCATAGCTCAGTGAGTAGGGCGCCAGCCACATAACCAAAGCTGACAGGTTTGAGCCTGGCCCAGGCCTGCTAAATAAAAATGACAAATGCAACCAAAAAAATAGTGGGACATTGTGGCAGGCACCTGTAGTCCCAACTACTCGGAAGGCTGAGGCAAGGGAATTGCTTAAACCCAAGAGTTGGAGGTTACCGTGAGCTGTGATGCTACAGCACTCTACCAAGGGTAACATAGTAAGACCCTGTCTCAAAAAAAAAGATGTGTTCTGGAGTTGTTCATGATTGTGAGGATTAAACAAGATTCTGGAGTGGGTGGTGCCTGTAGCTCAGTGAGTAGGGCACCGGCCCCATGTACTGAGGGTGGCAGGTTCGAACCAGGCCACTGCCAAACTGCAACAACAACAACAACAAAGGTTCTGGAGCCCTACTTTATGAAAGTTAGGCTGTAAGATCAGAGCATGAGTTAAATGCTGTCTTCTATGACTCCACCTTAATATAATAAGCTACTGTTTGTTGCATCAGGCTCTGTGCCAAACACAGAGTGCATAGTACTTCAGTGCAGCCTCATGCCACCATGATGAGATGGGTACTGGTGTTATACCAATTGTGCAGATGAGGGCACTGAAGCTAGGAGTTAATTTGCCTGAGATCATGTGTTTAGGAAGTGATAAGCCTGGGACTCCTGCACATCTACAAGCTTGGAACTAGTTCTTAGATGTTGTGTGATCGTCCAAGGGGTATCTGTGTGGGTGGGGCAATTGGACTGGTAATAGTTAATTCACAGAGGAATAATTACAGAGAATGCTCTGTTATCTAGGTCAGATCCTACAGCCAAGAGGTTATTTGTGCCCATTGCAATTCCATTTGCTGCATGTTTATTTCTCCTTCACTACCTCCTGCTCTCCAAGGGGAAATCCACTCACTCCTTTATTTGGCTTATCACCTGACTTATTTTTTTTCTTTTTTTGAGACGGAGCCTCAAGCTATCCCCCTGGGTAGAGTGTCATGGCATCACGTTCACAGCAACCTCCAACTCCTGGGCTCAAGCGAGTCTCCTGTCTCAGCCTCCCAAGTAGCTGGGACCACAGGCGCCCGCCATAACGCCTGGCCATTTTTTGGTTGCAGTCATCATTGTTGTTTGGCGGGCCCGGGCTGGGGATTCGAACCCGCCACCTTAGGTGTACGTGGCTGGCGCCTTAGCCGCTTGAGCCACAGGCGCCGAGCCTTATCACCTGACTTATTATCAGCTTCCTGCAAGATCTGGATAAACTTGAGGCCACTGGGAAAGTGAGGCTCTGCCACATCCTAACATGGGCACACTCCTCTCCCCACTGCTTGAGCTCAGCCTTCATGGAGTGGTGCAGCATGTCAACAACTACCTTCTCTTATCTGAGACCCTCCACTGAGGTTCGCTCTCTGTGCTCCATTGAGAAGGAGGACCAGGGAATGTCCCTAGAATCAGTCTGGTCCTGACTCAGTCCCTAAAATGTGTTTGTGTGGCCTCTGAGTCTTGTGTTGGTTCACATACTGTGATGCCTGAGGCCTGACTCTTTGGGAGGACCCATCTTCCTCCAAAGAGCCCCCCAGCTCCTATATGCATTCGGTGTCTCCACAGAGGTGAGAAGAAAAAGAAACGAGACCGGCAGATCCAGAAGATCACCAATGCCATGCGGGCCTTTGCCTTCACAAACCTGCTGCTTGTGGGCTTTGGGGTAACCTGCCTCATTCCCAACCTGCCTCTACAGGTGGGTATGGGGAGAGGGAGAGGCCAGGTGGGGTATGGGACAATGAGAAGGGATTTTATTTAGAGACTAGAAAGTGCATGAAGTGTCCTGGAAGCCATCAATGAAACAAGTGGTGACTTTCATTCATTGCATTCAACCATTGTTTACTGAGGGCCTGTCATCTGCCAGGCTGTGTGCTTGATGCTGATGGTGAGCTGTAAAGGAAACTTGGATTGTCTTTCTCAGAGGAACTCTCTTCTATGAAGGCATGAGGTTCCTGATCTTTTTGGCATCTTGCTTACTATGAAAACCATCATCATGTCATTTCCAGGAAATCTGTGTGGTAGTTGTGTGGTTAGTTTTGCATTTGCTCAAACTGCTGAAATTTAATGCCCAGAGAGGTCTGGCCAATCTGTATTGGTGGACACACCCTGGTACAAGAGGGCTTGCAGGATCTCTGCACTAGAGAACACGAAGAAGGACCATGGTGATGGCTTGACAGCTGGGCTTAATTCCTTTGCACAAGTTTTCGGAGGCTTTTGAAACTTGATTTTTGCCAGAGATTGCAAACCAGGTAGACTTTGTCACTTGCCAGGTAGACATTTGTCACAGATCTGTCTGCAGATCTGTGAAAGTAGTCTAGCAGAGGTTTTGGCCCAGTCCCCAAGTCTACAGACTTTGAAGGGACATGTGTGACTACATTGCTTCCAGATAGGTGTAGCCCAAGTCCAGATGGTATCTCAGGCCAAGTTCAAGAGGAAAGCAAGAGTCCCTCCCTATTTACACGTGGCCAGGTATTAAGGTATTAAGTAAGTGCACCCACCCATCTGTATCCTCTTGTGTGTGTGGCAACACTGAGCAGTGCAGACAGGGTAAGGCAGTGAAACCCGAGCCAGTGGCACTGAGCATGCAGACAGGTCCAGTGGGGAATGTTGCTGCTTCCCTCCTGCCCTCCCTGGCCTCCTGGGTTGTTCTCTCTGCAAAATTTGCAGAAGCTTGCCCTGACCCCTTTGTCCACTTGAGGGGCAGTGCTCACTGGGGACAGTCATCGCTTTATGTTTTATTTAGTTCTCATTGAAAGAAAAGTTGTGCGAAGGCAACAAGATGTTTGAGGTGGAGAGGGGGAGGCTGCCAGAGTATGTGTGTGCACAAGTGTGTGTGCACATTCAGGTACAGTCGTCTTTCAACACTGGAAAGAGCAGCCCCTGCCCCCTCCACCATCTGCTTTCCTGGGAACAGGTCTTGGCTGCTGAGCAAGATGGCAGGGCTGTGTACAAAGGACAAAAAGACAAAAAGGGCAAACACAGGGTGCTGGTGGTAAAGCGAACAGCTCTTGGGCCTCTCAGGAATCATTAACAAGTGCTTCTCAGAGCTTGCCCAGCCTGCCTTTGAAGCGGCCTGCCTTTGAAGGGACCTCCCACAGACAGAATAGAACTTTGCTAGGAGGTAAGAAGAGTCACCTGCCAGGAGGGCCTGGATGACCAGGCAGGGAGACTTCTGCACAGTCCTCAGATGGGCAAAGGCAGGAGATCAAGGTCATGGTTAGTGACTTCCTATAGGTAGGGCTGTCCTGATCCATATTTAATAGCAGAGCCCTGATGTGCAGCATTTGCAGATTTCCATGGTGTAAATGCTCTCATTATGGCTGATTTCAAGCTGCCAGCATGATGTCACTGATTGTGGGGTTGGAAAGAGATTCACAGTAACACCATCAAGTGGGATTTCTACCACACATACATTAAAGGTGTAAAAAACCTGAAGAGCGGGGCACCTATGGCTCAAAGGAGTAGGGCACTGGCCCCATATGCTGGAGGTGGTGGGTTCAAACTCAGCCCCAGCCAAAAGCTGCAAAAAAAAAAAAATCCTGAAGAGCCCAGCAAGTAGTGAAACACAGTAAAATAATTAGGAAGCGATGAGTTTTGAGTATTTGTTACCTTTATTTTAATA